AGTGCCACAACTCTTACAGAGAAGTGGGGCCAGGAGGGTCACTCTGAGGAGTCAAACCTCGGCTTCAGTCCCAGGAGTTTATAGTCAATACAGCAAGCAGTAAAGCAAGTAACAGAACAATGGGCTTTGGGTGAATAAGTTTCGGGCAAGGGAGGAGGAATTCAGGTAAACAAGCCAATCAGTAACGGGTTTGGAAAAACAAGTTGTGACAAGTCTCAACATGTGCAGCATAGAGGCCTTTATACATCAATATTTTAATGGCACATATCCCCCAATTGCCCTCTGACAATGGTTAACCCCATGACATGTCAACACTGTCCCTTCTCAACTTTGGGTTCCCTATCACCAGCTTTCTTGTCCCTGGACTGCTGTGCCTCATTAGTCCTGTTTTGTTTTATGAGGTTGTCCAATTCCCAGCTGAACGGTGAATTCTGGGAGGGGCTTCACCACGGAGCTAAAAGGGTATCTGGGGGCCATACTCGGGGTTTCTCCAGTCTGCCAGGCCAGTAAATCTTGTCTTTTTTGTGAGTTAGAATTCTGTTCTACATCCTTTTCCAGCTCTGTCCAGGACCCTCTATTGTGATCCCAATCAGAGCAGTCAGTGGTGGTAGCCGGGCACCATCTAGCTGTACTGGACTCAGTTTGGTGGATGCCGTGGTAGCTGTGGTCCATTAGTCCTTTGGACTAATCTTTTCCTTGTATCTTGTCCTCTTCATTCTCCCTTGTTCCCGAAGGGGTGAGACCAGTGGAGTATCTTAGATGGCTGCTCACAGACTTTTAAGACCCCAGACGCTACTCACCAAGGTAGAATGTAGTACATTGTCTCTATAAACTGTGTTATGCCAGTTGAGCTAGATGTTCCCCGAGACCACGGTCCCCACAGCCCTCTGCCCAGCAATTCAGTCCCTCAGGGAGTTTGGAAGTGTCTGTGGAGCTTACATGACCTCTCCTTGTACAAGTTGTGCTGGGTTCCCCAGTAATGTGTACTGTCTTATCCTTCATCAGTTACCACTTAGCTATTTAGTTCGCCCAACTCCTCCCAACCCTCGTAACCAACAAAGATTGTTTCTTTTTGTGTGTTGTAAACTTTTACATGAGTTACACAGTAGAGATCTCATACAATATTTGTCCTTTTGTGATTGACTTATTTCACTCAACATAATGTCCTCCAGTTTTGTTCCTCTTACTCTCCTGTGCTGAGTTCCTTTTGTT